TGGTCGACCACTTTTTACCATTTTTTCGCTAGAGACATTATTCCATCAGTGTAAAGCTTTTATGGTTTCTCGGCGAAAAACTGCGGCAAGTATTTTTTCGCTTCAAATCAAATTTACTCAATTAAGGGAGTTCTGCATTGACCGAAACAAATAGTAGTCCGACAAGGACTGTATGGTGGATGCATCAAAACTTCGCAGTCAAGCTCTCCCAGTCTTTGCCGAATGGTCTAGCGTTGTCCTGATGGAAGCTAAGTATTAGCAATTACTTCTTTATAACCATACAGACTGTAGCAAAACATGCTTAAATTCTGTCAAAATTCATCTTTTCTCTCGCATTCCAGTAGGAAACTCGATAGCAACCGTGTACAAAGTTTAATAAAAACTCATTTTTATTCAGTACTAACTAATAAGTATTTTCTCTTTTACATCTATAAATGGAAGAAATTTACTGAAATAAAATAATTTTGAAAATTTTGTACCACATCAAATTTTTCCTGCAGGGCATCTACTACTCCCTACATCAAATGTAAGAAAATTCATGTACTATATGCCATATATGTATATATACTGATACTTCCATTGCCATTAAATCATTTAATTTTTGTCGTTTGAAACTTTTAATCGGATTTCTGTCGTTTAGCCATTCATTTTCTCTCAGGCACTTAGTGATCTGCCAAGCGTTGATATTAGCTTAACTGTTCCCTTACATTCATTATTTTCTTTGCTTTATATTTGCTTAGACTTTCATTAGACTTTTTCACTGCCTATTGTTCGGCATTTACTCCCACCTGGCAAGTTGTTTGCTCTTTTCTCTGAAACTCTGACATTAATGCGGATTTTCTAGATTTTCTGTTTGCCCTGCTGCAGAGCAAACAGCTTATGCAGATATTTAGCTTGCCTCGTTTACTCATATATATGTATGCATGTACATATAAGAGTGTTGTGTGTATGCATGTATGTATGTATTTGTGTAAATAGGAGTGCGGATGTAAGCGCTAAGGCATAATGTGGCTAGGGTTGAATTCATGTTTAGCTTTGTGGTAGATTCAGTTATTTTAATATACTTAAGTGATTATTTGATGTTTCTATAATGATTTCGTGAATCCCGTAAATCTTTTAATTATTTCAAAAGATGGCATTAATCTTGTAGTCGGTTACACAAAGAGCTTTGCTGCAAAGGTTTTCGGAAAAAAATGTGTAACCAAGATAACCGTTTTAATGTTCGTTTGAAGTTTCATCTGCATATGTCCCTTAATGTGTGTTTGGCAGCTATTCGTTTGAACACAAAGGGTTTGACTGCCGATTTTTGCTTGAAAAAATAATTTAACAACGACTTTGCTTGAAACTGATTGTTTCCAATGGAATCAGCGGTTGAAAATATTCGTATTTGATATCAAAGAGATAGTCAAAAATCTCAGCATCTCTTATGAACTGACTCAACACAATTTAGTTAATTTTTTGGGTATGAAACAGGTAGGTGTTCGACGTACCAAAAGACTTCAATCTGCTTGAAAACATAGTTCTCCATTCAACCAACGCACCATTACTGTGGACTAGTCGCGGTTAAGTAAAAATCTGGCTCCGTTCCGGCTACTTAGACCCAGCTGTTATGGAAACTAATTTCCTTCCACCTAATGTACAACTAATATCTTCATTTAATAGAGTATTCAAAAAAACTGATCCTTTGAATAGACATATTTTTCATACTTTAGATATTGTCAATATTCATACTTTCCAAAAATAAAGCATATTATTGTTGTCGAGTGGACAGTCTGGCTGAATAAAAATCAGAATCCTTTCTGGTTTTGGGTCATGGGAAGGGTCATTATTACGGATTAAGTCATCGATTTTCTTAGTATCCAACAAATAAAAATAAGTGAATTGAGATTTTTGTTAATCAGTTATCCGAAGTAAGCTTCTACTCACTAGCTTTTTCACAGGCTTCAGTCGCTCAATGGGAAGCAATCTCAGCCACCATAAACCATACTGGAAATGTTTTCAAGGAATCTCATCATTGAAGATGCCATTTTTATAGCAGTTCACAAAACTAGAAACGGCTATTTAGTGAGATGTTTTTTCTAGTTAGAATGCTGCAAGTATACATACATTAAAGCACAGCTATTTTATAACCTGCCGAAATCCGCTCTAACTAATGATCTCACACATGAATCCCAAATACCAAACAAAATAAATATTATCTGTCTACTAGGCGGATAAACTGAAGAAAATGAATATTTGTAGGTGTAGTAGTGCTAATAAAGCCGCCATTGCATTGAGACAGTCGGTTGAGCAAACCCCTCAGCCAGCTTACAGCCATGTGTCAATCGCCATCAGCATCAGCACCAACACTCACTCTTATTCTGGCGCTCTAACTGTCGGCAGTGATGAGACATTTAATTACCCAACAAGTTAATGATCTGCTGATGTGCATATTTTTATGGCGCATTTCACACGCTTACACCCAAACCACCCAAGTATGTTTGTTCAACAACCATTATGTGTGCTTGTGTTGCTGTTGCCAGCATTTAAGACCGCTTCATTTAGCTTTGGTTCGTTTCAATTTATTTCGTCTTCGGCTTTGTTTGCTTTCTTCGAAATGTGCGCGGCCCATAAAATTCATTATATTACAAATCGCTTATTCATATCGCTGCATAAGTATATAAGTCTTTATTCATTTCAATTTGAATTTGCTTCGTCATGAATTCGGTGCAACGTGGCGTATGAGCAACATTCGGTGATTTACTCGTAAATGTTATTGATATGCTATGCCGTATTAATTTTGATTATCATTGTGTCATCACTATTTGTTTGTGCTGTTTAAATAGACTGACTAGAATATTAGGATTCTAGCAATTGAAGTGTTATATACGACATATGCCTGAATCAGGCTTGGAATAAGTTTTTCACTAAAAATTTATCAAATAAATAAGTTGATAAATACTGATATTTCAAAGTTCATTTAATTAAAACACGATATCTTAAAACTATAAAGAAATGAACTAACACTTCGGAACAAGTAACAATTTTCCTGATGCAGGTCGGTAAAACGAGATTTTTTCCAAAAAGTATCACGAATTTTCATTTTCGTAAGCAAGTTCATGAATATTTATTTCGTCTCCGACAAATTAATTACCCTAAATATATTGCACTTTCAATCCTAAAAACACTTAAAATTATTTTTTGATGTTTCATTTAGCCTTTATGGGCCTCCTCATTTTTGGGAACAAACAAGTCATAGGGAACCTGGTCTAGGAAAATTAATATGTTGTTTTTGGTCAAATATTCTCGCACAAGAGTTCTATTTCTTAATGATCGATAATATTTTTTATTTGGCTGGTCACCGAAAATGTTTTAACGGTAAAATCGTATACCAAAAATGTATACACAAATTAATTGTCTTCGGTTCTAAACCGTGATTCTAGTGAAAATGCTCATTGAAATACCAACGCGTATTGAAAATAAAATTCACAATTATTTATAAAACACATAGAGGTTATCTACCTCTAAGAAAAACATTATATCTCCTAAAAGAAATTGTTTAAATTAAATTCTTCACTATGTATAAGTAACAGGTCAATTGAAAAGTCCCCGGCCTATCATACTTAAACATATTTTTTGGCATAATTCTTTTTTTATTCAACATAGTTCCTTCTAACAGTATGATGTGCACGATCAGTTAATATCTTTAGACTACCTGCTATCTCGAAAAACTGGGCATTAAAAATTATTTTTTGAACTTGTTTAAAGTTTTTCTTTTGAGCGTTCACCATCTTCGTTCCTCATTCCACCATGTCTAAACCTTAGTTGTTTATTTTTCTGAAGTAGTGTCCGAAAACCCGCCATCACGCCAAGGTTTTGCTTCAATTGTATTTTTTCCTTTCAAAAATTAATATCTTACCAGCACGCGAAATTTCTTTTTAAGCATTTATTTCACAATAGAAAAAGTTGCTTCACTCGAAATGATATAATCCACAAACTAAGAATCCGATAGTTGTCAAATCTATACACGCTCCTTTTGAAGGTTAGGACAAAATAAAAATTTTATAAATTAGCACCATATGTGCACCAGCCATCATGATAGTATTACAAAATATATAATAAAGAATTTTCAAGTCCCGTTGCTTGCTTTCGAGTCAACACTTAATTAACTTGATGGTTCCCCCCTCTTATAGCTCGGTTTGTTTGGCTTTACCAAAAATAGCTTTATTAATTTGTACTTCTGCCACTCCTCCATTTCCTTAATTTTTGCCATGATTCTCGGAAAAATTATACAATATTAATCATAGACTTTAATGAGACAACTCGAGCAAAATTCTGTATCGTGTCTCTCGAAATCGCCTTATATTAATAACGGCATTTTATGAAATATTGTAGCGTTCAATCTCTTGCTTTCAAGACATATGCACCAGCTGCTTCTAAGCCCTAATTAACTGCTAACTATTAATTAAGATAAAACGCAAATGAAATATTGCTGTGTGGACATAAAATCAAAGAAACTTAAGCGTTTTGTAGTAAGTATTTGCCGATTCAACAAATTGACGCACACAAACACAAAAGCTTTGCGGATTTATTTGCCTCAGCGATTTTTGCGGTTTGTGCATATATAATCGTTCACATTTAATTTATTTTCTCTGCATAGTTTTGGTATGGAAAATCGTTGCCTTCATGCGCGGTGACTTTCCGAGTTGTTTTACATAAAGGCCGAATTTCGCGGAATAACCTTTTGCAATCAATACAATTTCGTCCATCATTTGTCATGCGACCAATTGAAGAGATCGTTCTTCGAACAAAAATGGATTATTGATTACAAATGTTTGCCATTTGTAGCATATGAGTGTGTGAAAGGGTGTGTTTGAATGTGGGTGCTATATGTTTTTTTTTTTTCAGTTCCACATTAGAAAAAATTTCTTACTCACTTTTTGTACACTCACTCTTCTTGTGCAGTTCTCTTAATTTTTTTTATTGCTTTTCTCTTCTCTTTGTATGTGTGTTTTTTCTAGGCAGCACATCGAATCCCGATGCTAAGCGCCTCTACGACGATCTACTCAGCAACTATAACAAATTGGTGCGTCCCGTTGTCAATGTGACTGACGCTCTAACTGTACGCATCAAATTGAAGCTATCACAATTGATTGATGTCAATTTGAAAAATCAAATCATGACAACCAATTTGTGGGTGGAACAAACCTGGTACGATTACAAACTCCAATGGGAGCCGAAAGAGTATGGCGGTGTTGAAATGTTGCATGTACCCTCGGATCATATATGGCGGCCGGATATTGTGTTATATAATAAGTAAGTAGTTTAGCATTAATAAAAAACCAAAACACATGCACACACATACACATAAGCGCAACATCATCGCGCTCAGTCAGTGAAATATCACCACATCAAATTCCCATATATCACAATCATCAGCCGCATCATCAGCTGCATGAGTGAGCGACAAGCAGCAACGTGTGTTGCAAAACTAGCAGTAAAAAAAATTAATTGTTGTTGCTGTTCCGTTAAAAATCCGGCAACGACTCAAAAAAAGCGCTGACATGCGGCACTTCTAGCTTTTTGTGTACTCACGCTCTTCCTGTTGTTGTTGTAGGTCTTTTTACTAGCAATGTCGCTGCTACAGCTGCTGCTGTTGCTATGCTGTCATTGTCATCGCCTCTTTTACTCATCACTGCGGTTTTTTGATTTATTTCATCCGAAGCGTATCTTATTTATTGTTTCCTTCATTTTGGCAAATATTCTACGAAATCTTACATTTCCGTTTCTCATTTTATGCAAACTCATGCAAAATACATACACACATATGCAAATTATTTCTGCTTGCTTAAGTATTTCCCGTTAAGTACTCGTATATGCAAATGCAAAACATTTTTCCAAGTCAAAGATTTGAAGCAAATCAATATCGATAACTAACTATGTAAATGCAAGAATATCTTCAGTAAGATGAAGAAAGTTAATTTAATTAAATATTCCAAGTCAAAGATTTGAAGCAAATCAATATCGATAACTAACTATGTAAATGCAAGAATATCTTCAGTAAGATGAAGAAAGTTAATTTAATTAAATATTCCAAGTCAAAGATTTGAACTCTGAACTATTTATCACTCTCATTTTGTATTTCATGCATAATTACGAATATAAGTATATAGTTTTGTATATGCAGGTTGCTTCAAAAATAACCAATCCCTGAAGTTTCCGAAGATCGTTCAATAATGTTAGAAGAGAGCTTTAAACTTCAAAAACTCATCCCACTATATGGAAATGAGCAAAATCTAGCATCACTTTTTTTGTTTTGCTAGAATTTCATATTCCGCAGCATACTTCGCAAATATGTGGACACCCATTTTTAATACTTCAAAAATTATCAAAATCGTCAAAAATAATTACTCCAACTACCTTTTAATATATGGGATTTTTCAATAAGAGCGATTTGGAAAATCCATGAAATTCTTTATTCCTCTGAAAGTGCATTCGAAGACATTATGGCTGGAACTCCATTTCTTTTGCATGGCCGACCGGGCACGATTGCAGAAGTCCACACGCCCGATACTGCTGCATTTTCACATTCGATATTCGTACGAAGTTCATCAATCAAAGTTGGTTTGTTGGCATAACGGCGTCAAATCGCAAGAACTAGGCGGCCAATTGACTGGGCCATTCCGTGAGATAACACGTTCACCAAACTTGGTTTCACATATGGTCAAAATTCATATCATCCAATTCGTTTTAAAAATATAAGGTTATCATTGATAGCGATTCTCATTCATAGTACCGTGCCGGTCTTGGTCATTTCGGAAGCAATGCGGCCCAATGACACCGCCGGCCCATAAACCGCACCAAACCGTAATTTTTCGGGATGCAATGGTGACTCATGGAATATGTATGGATTGCTTTCTGATCAATAACGCATATTTTGCTCATTGATGAAGCCAGCCAGAAACGAGCCGCATCGCTGGAGATGACATTTCGATGAAAATCCAGATAATTTTCAAGTAGTCGCTCAGCTCGATTCGCGAATATACGACGAATCTGTTATTCAAGCGACTTCAGTTCTATCGTCAAATTGATTTTGTCAGGATTTAGGCTAAGATCTCTCCGCAAAATTATCCACAACGATTGATTGGGGTCTACCAATATTGTGAACGCTACAGGCATTTTCAATTAGAATAAAGATACACTAAATACTAGTTAATCTAGTAGCCCACGGTAAATTTAAAAATATTCAGTGATTGCAACTTTGCTTCCCGGACTGTTTCAAATTGAAGAACCTCCAGGTTTTAATTCATCCTCGAATCGCTAAACCTCTATTATAAATAAAGTTCGAAAAAATACAGTTTCGTTTTTGCTTTTTCCTATGAAACTATAACTTCATACTTTAGTAATGGTATATTTCGAGTCAAAAAACAGGTTATAGTTCCACAGGCCGTCACGAACGGCCTTATTACGTGTATTTGACGACCTATAGAGCCGCACAGATAATAACTTTCATGATTATTCGCTCTCTCCAGAGCTGGACAAAGGAAAGGACTTCGAATTCAAAGATAAGAAGACATAAAAGGAGTTTTTCGTCCTACTCCTGCCATTACAGAGATTTTCTATCACTTTATGCGCTGATAATTGCGTGATATTGACGTCGGACAATGCAATCAGTGATATTATTCGAAAGTAAACAGCCATATCTAAGATATTTTTCGCTTCTTCTCTGCAAGGAGCACTTCCCCTACTAACTCCACAGCGATCATATTAACGAAGGAGTACAGATTGGGTTTTAACATTTAAGTCGACGATATTGAAATTCAGACTGTCAACAGCCCTACTATTTTAGGTGTTACATTTGACAGTATGTACTCTTTCACTCCTCTTACGTCCTCAATTATTGCCGAACTACAGAGAGCTTATGGGGAAAGATTAAAAACATTGCTGACAACTTTACGGGCTCTCGACTAGCAGGTTGTTAACTACGCAGCTCCGGTTTGGGCGAATCGTTGAAGTAAAGTGCAGAAAAAGAACACCCAGAACACTGCACTCTATGAAAGCATTTGATTCCGATCATTTAGTTTGTATTACAGCTATATGTTAACCGATCTGAACAATTTCTTCGGCGATTACATTGTTGCCTTAGAAAATACATTCAGTTGGTATGGCAGCTATATGCTATAGTGGTCCTATATCGGCAGTTCCGACAAATGAGCAGCTTCTCGAAGAGAAAATTTCAAAAAGATATCTTAAAAACTGAGGGACTAGTTCGTATATATTCAGGCAGACAGACGGACATGGCTAAATCGACTCAGCTTAACATACTGATAATTTTAATACATATATACTTTATATACATATATACTTTATAGGGTCTCCGAAGCTTAATTCTGGGTGTTACAAACTTGGTGGTATACTTAATATACCTCAGGTTCTAATTATTTAGATTGACTATAAATATTCGATGCACTACTTCTTCTTGTACACTGCTATACATATATATTAATATACGTACATATGTATTTACAAATTTTTGATTGTGTTCAATCTTCTTTAATCTTTTTTGATTCTACAACTGACGTACAATATATTTACTTCCAAGCATATCCTTACATACATATACCTTTGTGCCTTCCTCGAGCCAGCCAAATCAGTTTTTTACAATAATTCACAGTGTCCGATGCTAACTACTTCTTTTTCACATTTTTTCATTGCAATCTTTACCCACCATCGCTACCGGCACCACAACACCACCACTCACTGCTGCTTCATCCGCCACAGCGCCGATGGCAATTTCGAAGTGACGTTGGCCACAAAGGCCACTCTCAACTATACGGGGCGCGTCGAGTGGCGGCCACCGGCGATTTATAAGAGCTCCTGCGAAATCGATGTCGAGTACTTTCCATTCGACGAACAGACGTGTGTGATGAAATTCGGCAGCTGGACATATGATGGTTTTCAGGTGAGTTTGTAATTGAAATTTAGCCACGAGTACGATTGGATTTACTTATTGAATTTTTGCCGGTTTTTATACTATTTTATGTTTTGCCCCACATACATTTATATATACTTATATACATATACCTAAATGGACGGGCATATAAGAAGTTATGTATGTTAGTTAGCTCGCGTCCTATAAGCTCAGCACTTCAACTGGATTTGTGTGTGCGTCTTTTACGGTTTTTTTTTTATTTGTTTTTTTTTTTTTATGCAATTTACACGTTTTTCGTTTGCAACCTCGCTCGTCTGAGTAAACTGAACTCAATCAAATGTTTAATTGACTCGAATCGTTAATTGCTTGTTTCATGTTCGTTTGAAATTTGTTTAAGAGTAGAAAGGCTACGGATTTTCGATTAGTTTAGATTCAAATTTTTACATTTGGAAGTTTTATTAGAAACTCGTGCAGATTTGTGTAGCTATTAATTTATGTTTTGTTAAATTATTTTTATCAATTCGGCAATGGTGGTATGCATATTGTAATATTTTACGCAATTTTACTTTATCATATGCGACAAATGCTGTGCCAAGATACTTTTAAACGAAATACTTTTCCCCTGTTTGCACACGCTTTTTTTAATTCCTTATTATCAGACTTTTTCATGAAAAAATTTTTTACCAACTCTATTCCAAAAAATTTTTAATTTAAAGCTTTCCAAAATACTCTCACAAATGATTTTCTGAAACTCTTTATATTTGGCACTTATTTGATAATATTTTGCGCAGATTTATATTTAATACTTTGTGGAAACTTTACTCCAAGAAATATCTAAATCAAAAGCTTCTAGAGCACTTGAAATTTACCTACAATGATTCAAAGATTACAATATTTTCAGTTTTTTCTGTCGATGGCAGCAAAAGTTTTATAACGATTTTCAAGCCTTTTTGGTTACATACGAATCCAAATGGCATTAGCAAGATAGTCTACAGCTGAAAACATTTCAAACTTTCAAAAATCTCTATGAAATTTAAGTAAGAGTCAGGATAGGGACCTGTTTACTTCACTTTTTCAAAAGCTCCAAAATATTACTAGAGATCTCCATTATTTTAGATACTTTTTAATAGGGAGAGAAATTGTATTTTCGTGCACTCTCATGTTCAAAAACGTTCCTTACTTGAAATATTCGTAGTTTTTATACCCTGAGCAATATTTTTGTATATTAAGTTTGCCTCACAGTTTGTAATACGCTGGACGATACGTCACAGATCCGATTTCATCATAGTTTCTCACTTTTTGAATATCGATCTAAAATCCTATCCATTGTCGATCCATCCAAAATTTAGATTACGTATGGAAAACTTTTCTAATTTGATAACATAACTTCCAGAAATTTGAATGAGATTATTGTCACAGAAATTGATTGAATTGAAGTACCACACATAAGCATAATGTTTAAGAAAATATATTACTTCCATCAATAGCTAAAATTTGAAAATGGCCGAAATGCCTCTTTCAAAATCTTCAAATTGAGAATATTCGCCCAAACTCAACTACACTTTATTTAAAACTGGTTGTTTATTAGAAAAATTAACGGATCTGCTTTAAGGTTTTAGTCACCAAGACTTTTCCCCAAGCAAACTATTGTAGCATAAAAATTCTGACCTCTCAATTTTAATAATTTTGCCGCAAATCAAATAAAACCAGCTTTACTTTATATTGGCTTGTTGACATGCCTGTTGTTATTCTGCACAACTCAAGATTTTTGAATGCCATTTTTGTCTTTCAACAAATCTTGTCCAAAGGTTAAGCTAGATTAATCTGGTATGTCAATAAGCTACGCATAGACCAGTTTTCTTCATTCTTCAAGAAGCCTGCGATTGGAGCAAATTTAAACAGACTCTGCGCCTCACTAGCGATTGGTTACATGCTTAAAGCATAGTCTTGCAAATTTGCAAATGCGGGACAAGTGCACAAGAGATGCTTCATTGTTTCCCTGGTGCCTTGCTCTAGAAATTTCCTGCAGTCATTTCGATATCTCAGCCTCATTCTGTGTGTGTCGGCACCAAATAGTGACCAGTTAGTATGTCCCCACACTCTCTTCTATCAATAGGAATTTTGTACAGTTGACTTGAGCGAACGCTATAAGCCTCGCGGCGGTTCACTCGAAGCAAGCTGATGCTACCATCGCTTCTTTGTTAGTTTAATAGAGATATAACTTTAGATCGAAATATTCTATGTCATCTCCAGAAATATGTGGTTGTAGCTTTTATCGATATTGCTTGTCTGTATATCTGGCTTTCAATTTTTCTGTCATCCTTGATCTATGTGGCCCAAAACTCACCTCGAGCATACATACCATATTACCACATAGTTATCCTAAAATCACGAGATGTACTGCTGCTCTCTATTTTCTCTTTGTTTATTCTCTACTACATATTCCACGGCCTTGAGAATATCCGTAAATTCCAGGCACCCACTACCTCAAATAATAAATTAAATAATGAGTAATCAAATTAAACCCTTACTGATCACAATCAGAACCAAGCAACCACTAAATATCGCGTAACTTGCACAATGACACCACAAACAACGTTAACTATTTGCAAGTGCGAAGACACTTACAATGCGGCGTGCCACTGAAATGCCAATTCCACGAAATCCGCTAACGAAAGAAAAGTGCAATTCCGGAATTTATAGACACCCACGTGCAATCGCACAAAATCCACTACAGCGTAGCAGCAAACGGGCCAGCTGAGCTCGTGGCATCAGCAGGCGGACCAAAAGTGATTGCCGCCAAAGTGAGCTGAGCGCTATGAATGCGATTTCGCAGCATTCACGGCTGCCAAGTATCGAAATTGGGTTTTCATGTTGCAGACAATTGAAGCGCATAACATGACAAGCGCAGGAGTTGAGGCGCGAGAGCCGAGGTAATCGCGGAGATGGTGGCACAACGTCGAAGAAAGTCAGGTGGCAAGTAATTTCGTGGCACAGGAAGCACTTATAGTGGCCTGCCAAAAGTTTCCGAGGCAGAGAAGCCTTCCTCTGGCATCGACACCGCCTCGCTGATGAGCTGATGTGGCGTAAATTGTTATTAAAAGCATCTTCGGTGGTGGCGCAACGCCGAAATGGTGTAAGGCAACAATTGGAGCGGGAAATAAATGAAATGTTTCGGCATATCGCTCGTCTTATACACAACTTGCAACATTTTTCTTTTTATTTTTATTTTTTGTATTGTGGCCTCACTCACCCGCCCTTGCATTGCTGTGCTGATGATGGAAAATCATGCAAGTGGAAGCGAAACGTAATGAAATATTTCCACTTCCTGTTATGCTCCTCTAGGCTCGCTACAGGTGGAGGAGTGTGGCACATGGAGCAAATGAAATTAAATTTGCAATTTAATAACACCAACTGCAGAGACAACAACACCAACAACCAAACAAACCAGCAACAGTCACCAACAACAACAACTATATATGCATAAATAATAAATCGCTTGCACACTCATACAGGCACTCAACAGCATATACATACACGGTATGTTAATGCCAGCAATTGGCATCAGTTGCACTTGTTACTGCCCCCAACTTATTTGATTGTGTCCCTTACTCACAGCATTCGCATTGCTTTGCATAAATTCATTGCGCTAGGTTACTCATACGCCACGTGCACCCGTGAGCTGGTGGTGGCGGTTGTTATGGCACGAGCGATCGCGTGTTTGAAGGTGGAATAGTGCGCAGATATGACACTTCAATTTAAATGCAATCTCATATTTTACACTGTTGTTGTTGTTTTTTTGCTGCTATTTCAGTTGTTTTTTTTTTTTGCTATTGCTTTTGTTGCTGAAATCACCGCTGACTTCATGACACCGCTGACAACGAATAATTTTTGCGTTCGCATTGTTTCGGATTTTCCGCATAAAAGTTGCAAGCAGGCAGACACGCACAAATAAATATTTCTATATATTATTGTAATGCATAAATAATTAATCCAGTTGGATGCCAAATGTAGCATAAAAATTAGACTGATTCATGAAATGCAGGCTATAAAAATATGTAGAGGTGTGTTTTGCCGGATTATTTTTTAATTAGATTTTAGCTAAACGAACGCATGATAATTGGAGATTTGCGAAATGATTTTTATTTTTGTTTTCTCTTTTAATTTCTGACACTGTCTTTTATGTTTGCTATACACATATTTACGACTTAGGCGTTACCTGTTATTGTATGAAAAATTTTATTTTTATTGATAAAATCGCTTTCCACAGACCGTATCTAGCCAAATTTATATTTATAGTGATCTTCAAGTGGTTTGTCTTGCTCTGGTGCATCCACCGTCTTTTATCGCCGCTTTTATATTGTGTCAAAAAATTATTAAATCCCAAAATATTTAATTGACAATCAGTATTTATTTTGTCGCCTTCAAATCCTCGAAACATTTTTCATAAGCACTTTTAGGTATGGCCTTCAGCTCCTGCAACGAATTTTGTTCTATCTCTTTCATTGACTGAAAACAGATTTGGCGGAACGACAATTCCAACTTCTGGAAAGAGAAAAAATCACACGGAGCCAAATCTGCAGAATACGGTGGTTGATCGATGCTATTCATTGCGTTTTAGGCTTTAATATCAGTCCCAATCATACTCTTTGTGAAAAAGTCAATTGATGATTTCCAGCACCATATTCAACACTTTTTAAATATTTTTATCATTTGAAGAGGTCGAAAGTCCTCCAACATTTGAGAAAAATTCTTTGTTCGATATTTTTACCCACTGTATAAATTGCAACGCATTACTGTGGTACCGACTTAAGCAACTTCTGTAAACAAACTGATTGCCATATCGTGTTCATATTTAACACATTACGCCTTCATTTTGACTACCAACCCAGCAAAATACTTTTTTTTTTTTTTTTTTTTTTTTTGAAATATCATTTACAAGGGGAATTTAAATACAAATTATTGGTTCTTTTTTGTCCCAACGTATTAGTTTTGAAAAAGCTGCTCTAATGGGTGTGTCGTTACGTCGC